TCTGGCCTTAAATGAGGGGAACAGGGTTTAACTGAAGATGAGTATTTGAACAAGAAACTTGGAAAAAACTCTAAGAACACTGTAATACTTCTTCAATAATGGAAGAGGTGCTGAGTTTTATAATTATTTGATCATTACTGTGGTTGATCTATATTAACTTCTTAAACTCTGCTTGTCTTTGGTATGGAAATCTGTGAGTATGGCTACCCACCAATTTCAAATGCAGAAGTCATGCCTCAAGAAATACTAAATAATTGTGTCAAATACCTGGCAGAAATAATCTGTCCTAGATAATTTTATTATCTCAACATTTCAGATCATCATATCTTAATCTCAGCTATTGATTTAGATATATTATACTTCAAATTCAACTGAAAGTATCAAATATTTAGAAGGATGCTACAAAGATTAATGCATCTCAAATTTACATTTTAGCTGCTTTTTACTACCAAATATCCTCAGTACATCACTGCAAGTGTAGCTGAAATCTGTGCTCTTATAAGGTGAGGATATGTTTTATTCCAATATTATCTAGAAACACTATAATTTGGAGACCCAAATGATCTCCTGAGTAATTACTGAATATACAGACAGAGCAGTCTGCTCATTTAGTGAAAGCTTACTTCCTTTATCCAGCTTCTGAAAAGCATTAAAGCTCATTTAAATCTGTATGGAATTCTTTCATGAAGCTCCTAAGGTACATGGTCATTTGGAAGAGCACTCCATTCATGAGACAATATCTGAAGTTTTGTTCTATACCATGTTTGAGAATCCTGCTGTATTAGGAGAGTATGGATCATTGTGACCCTTATTCAAATGTAGAATTCTCCTTAAAGTAACACTTGTGATGAAGTGGGAAGCAGGAAAGGCTTGCTTTAAACTTTTAGCATTGATGCTGAAGTGAAAATCAACATCAACATTTTAGCTGAAAGCCATTCAGATGGCAAGAGATGTTAAAGATTGGCCAATATAGCCCAGTCTCTACAACATTGTACTAAGAAAAATCAAGAGTAGAAAAAAGAGTAGTAAAGTAGAAAAATCAAGTAGTCTTTATTCCAAAGACTATTTCTCCGAATAAACTGCATTCTTTGCAGAAACCAAATCAGGAGACAAATACCCATTTCCTGAGTTAGATAAGAAATGGACAAGAGTATAACTGACTGTCACAGGGGCCTCTTTACAAAATAGATTGGATAAGTTAATGAAAATAATTGGTCATGAGTGTGTGTGCTTGGTGAATGGAAGTGCAAAATTAAGCATGTTTAAAAGATATGATCAGGTGGCTATACTGGAGGGCAATAATGGAGAATTGAACAGAATAAAAAGAGGAAAGTGGGAAAGAAAAAATAGAAATGGCATTTACTTGCTGATTCTTACAGCAAACCCAAGAGCAGTGCAGAGATGCAAAATTGATGGTGTATACAGAAAAGGAAAACTAGTAAAGAATAAATAAGTCTGGATACACATACAAGCTAGCTGTTTACATTTACAGATGGATACCATGTCTCCGGTATATAGCTGCTTCATATCCCACTGGTTTGCAGTCTAAAATACTCAATGCCTTATACAGGCCATATGTCAGCAGAAGACTCTTCTCTTTGAAGTACATTAGAAACACTAGAGTGTGGAAGTGGGTCTGGCTGCATCATCTGTTAGTCAGGTGCTTAAAGAATGCATTCATTACTGACTTCAACTTAGCAACACTCTAGCAAATGGGTTTTACAAATGTTATAGCTTAATTATAATAGCTTTGACAAATTCCTTAGAGGAAGACCACCTCCCAGCATGTGTTGTGCCTTTCTGAAGTTCATGAGTAAAGCTTCCTCTTCAAATTTCAAGCTTTAATTTCCTGTTTCACTAGCTACTTCACATTTTCACAGGAATACAAATGGATGTGGTATTCAAGTCAAGAGGATGCAACAGTTATGAATAAAATAAGTCAATAGTAAAGGAAAATTAAAGAAAATGTGGATCAGCTGCTGAATGAGATGATGCCCTGGTAACAGCAGACGCTGGGGTGGTAGAGTTACTGAATGTCATCTTTTCTTTAGTTTTTACTGTTAAGAATTCCAGACCCTGGAATTTAGAGAGTCTGGAGAAAGGAAGATTTGCCCTCAGTCAGAAATCTTCTAGTCAAACTTCATACATATAAACCCATGAGCTCCAATGGGATGCATCCACAAGTGCTGAGGGAGCTGGCAGAAGTGGCTACTAAGCTGCTCTCTGTTGTCTTTGAAAGGTCATGGAGAATAGAATCCTGAGGACTAGGGGAGAGGCAATGTTACTTCAGTCTTCAAAAAAAGCAGGGAGGAGCTGGAAAACGATAGGCCAGTCAGCCTCACCTCCATTCCTGGAAATGTGATGTAGCAGCTTATTCTGGATTCCATCTCCAAGCAAGTGGAAGGAAAGAAAGTTATCAAGAATAGTCAACATGTATTCACCAAGTGGAAATAGTGCCTGACCAATCTGGTAGCTTTTTACCAAGCTGAATAGATGAAGAGAAAGAAGCGGATGTAGTTCCTTAATTTCAGGAAGGCTAGGTAAGCGTAGAAAGTGTGAGACAGATGAGTGGGCAGTGAAGTGGACTGAGAACTAGCTGACTGGCAGAGCTGTGAGTTGTGATCAGCAGCATGGAGTCCAGTTCGAGGTCTGTAACAAGCTATGCTTCCCAGAGCTTGGTACGGGGTCTGGTCTTGTTCAACGTCTCCATCAATGACATGGACAAAGGGATAGAGCACACCCTCAGCATGTTTGCTGATAATACAAAGCTGGGAAGAGTTGCTGACACACCAGAAGGTAGTGTTGTCTTTCAATGAGGCCAAGACAGGCTGGAGAGTTGGGTAGAGAGGAACCTGATGAGGTTCAACAAGAGCAAGTGCAGAGTCCAACTCATGGGAAGGAATAGCTGCATGTATTCATACAGGTTAGGGGCTCACCTGCTGGAGACGAGCTCTGAAGAGAAGGACCTGGGTGTCCTGGTGTATGAGAGGCTGACCATGACCTAAGCAGTGTACCCTTGTGGCCAAGAAGACCATTGGAATCCTGAGTGCATTAAAAAGAATATCGTGAGCAGGTCAAGGGAGATCCTCCTCCCCCTATACTCTGCCCTAGTGAGGCCATATCTGAAGTATTGTGTCTGGTTCTGGGCTCCCCAGGTCAAGACAAATTGAGTTGGTCAGGATGCATGAGGATCTTCAAGTCCAACTCCAAAAGTAAAACAAAGAACCTCTCTAGCAGAGGGCTACGAAGATGATTAAGGAGCTGGAATATCTCCCTTATGAGGAAAGAATGAGAGATCTGGGAGTGTTCAGCCTGGAGAACAGGAAACTGAGTGGGGATTTAATCAATACTTGTAAATATATCATGGGTGGTAGTCAAATGGATGGGGCTGTTCAATGGTGCTCAGTGGCAAAACAAGGGACAATAAGCACAAAGTGGAACACATGAAGTTATGTCTGAACACGAGAAAAATTCTTTACTTTCAGGGTGACAAAGCTCTGGAACAGGTTGTGCAGAGAGGTTATGGAGTCTCCTCTGGAGATATTCGAAACCTGCCTGGACACTTTCCGGTGAGAAAGTGTAAGAAATCTGTTTGGGGTGAACAAAATCATTGTAAGAGATCCCTTCCAACACGTAAAATTCTGTGATTCTATGTAATATTTTGACTGAGTTATATTAAAAGATGAATGTTTTCATGGCTCATCAATAATCTTCTTGTTTCTTTTACCTTTCTACATGTTCTGTCACAGTGAGTCATAAAATATATGTAGCTGACTAAGGGGTGGGGTCTTTTTTATTATTATTCATGTGGTTTCTTGGGAAAAATTTAATGAATAAAAGTTATAATTCTTAAACTGTTCTGCTTTGTTCTGTGGAAGTATTGTAGTTGCATGCACTGCTCATTGTTTCCTGAGATAACAGCCTATTTTCTGTGATCTAGATCAAAATCTGCACTTGTCTCAGGTTTATGGCAAAAATAAGCTTAAGAAAAATGGCACCAAACTACATAAACCATTAACAAGAAATCAAAATTTTACTGGGAGTATGATACAGCAAAACTTGATGGCATATGGTTTTGTGTTGTTTTTGTTTTGTTTTGTTCTGGTTTTTTTGCAATAATGAACTTCTCCTTATGTGCTTATTTCTTTTGAGCAATTAGAGATTGCATGGGACAGCTGGTGGAATAAATCAGAAATTAAAGGCATCCTGTACATCTTTGGTTTGCTCTAACAGCGGAACAACTGACCGTGCAACTCTTTAGGTTTTCATTTACATTATTTTCTTTATATTGAATTCTTCACGGTGGTTTTTCTTTTAAAACAAAATAATCTCTTACTTTTCTGGTTTTTACCCAGGGAAAGTAAATGAATGACAAAATAGGAATTATGTCTTAGCATTTAGTGTATTTTCTGTTGTCATCCTCATCATATTGACAGAAGTGCAAAGGAAAAGCTTTAAATTACTTGCTTGAACGCACAAAGAATGTCCACAACAGGAGTAGAAGGCAACCACCTACATGTCCTATGTCTGCTAGTCAGCATGGTTCTGAAAGACAGAAATAAGAAGTAATGCAAGTATCTCCTCTGCAAGATGTCCTTTCATAATTTAAGTTTGGTAATCTCACTGCCGGGGTAGTAGAAAACGTAAGTAAATAGCATTGTGACACTGCAAAGTAGGAAAAAAATGTACTAGGAGGTATCAGCAGATGTTTGGTTCATAAGATTTCATAAGACTTATGCATCTTACAGAACTGGAAAGACCACAACTGGAATATGGTATTCTGTGGTAGGCATTCTCTTCCAGATCATTTAAAGAGAGTCTGGAATACATTTAAAAAAAAAAAAAAAAAAAAAAAAAAAGTATGGATAATTTGGTTTGCAGGGTAAAAATATTTAGCTTAAGAGGGGGAGACTGATAGGGAAACATGAGATTAATCTTCAACTATGCTCATATCTAATGCACAGAAGAAATGATTGATCTGTTCCCTCTCTTCATGACAGGTATGAGCAACACATAATGGATTTCATTTCCAGTAAGGATCCACAAAGTCAAAACATTACATAAGATTTTTTTTATAAGGAAAGAAAGTGAAGCACCACAACAGCTGGTTTAAGGACCCTCGATCTGTGAAGGCATCTCATTACAGGGTAGATGACCCTCTCTGAATGCTGAGGAGTAGCCAGGGGACAGAGTAGCTTTTGGGGTCATTCTATCTCTACTCAATAGTCTTAGCACAAGACACTGAGCACCTAGGCCTTAAATCCCAAATAGTGCAGGCCCCAGTACAGTGTAAAAACTTGGATTTCAAGATTTTAGAATCTCATAAAAGCATAAAATAGTTATGCTATCACATAAGAATCCAATTGATTTTATTGTTACTTCAGAGCCTGCAGATTGCTTGAAACACACCACTGCCAAAGTGGGACCTGTGAACTTCGCCCTGAGTATAGAAATCGGCTGGAACTCAAAATCATGAGAGCATTATTTGAGGCAATCTTAGGGTCTTCCTTTTGTAAATAACATGAGTGAACTGGGTCTTTCTGGACCCGGATCATTTTTGCTGCATGATTTCTTCAGTACTTTACTTAAGTATATTTAGCAAATACAAGTTGGAGTCAAGGGAAGGTAAATTAATGCTCTGTTAATGGAAAGCAACAAATGAACTAATGATGTATTCTCTTATTGACTCAATACTGATATGTGTCTACATAGCCATACCTTACTGAAGTAAGCCCATGGATAAACTTGTGCTTCTGTGAATTTGGTTTGGTACTATAACTTATTATTTACTGTCTTTGGGCTTCAGTGTAATCAGACTGATTTATGTCAGCTGATAACCTGACCCTTTATTTCTAACAGTTAACCACAATGAAAGAATTCATGTTCTTGGTTTAATCTGCTGGGATGCTGGTCCTTTGAAAAGAGGTTGTGTGCAATCAAAATTGCTGGCTACCATGAGCAATAAAAGTTGAGAGGGAGAAAAGTGCAGAAAATGCTATTGAGAAGCACAATAACTTTTCATTTAGATTTTCTGAACAACTTAAACATGCAGCTATTTATCTGGCAAATTCTTTCTGTTCCGGAGGAAAAACTTACTCCATTTCACAAATAACTAGTCTGGTTTTCTGAAAACTAGGATGCTGTCTGGTCTTTCTTCCTTTGCATAGGATTGTTATGTTTTCATTTCTTCAATGCAGTTTGGAGGGATTATCCAAAGGATAGTAGAAAAAAGTTGGTTCTGAGTAAATTTTTTTTAATGAGCATACCAAAACATTGCCAAGATACAATCTGTATTACATATATCTGACAAGATGCAGCTTACTACACTTTGAAACAAAAGCATGAAATAAACTAATTAGTATGAAATTAATATAGAACAAAATGGATGTATTTATCCATACTATCTAGTATTCTGACATCCCTATGCTAATGTTGCACACTGGTTTATCTCCCTCCAGGACAGTAAGTCTTCTTTTTAGCATCTACTGTCTCTCTGAATTGAATCAAGATCAGCCTATTTCTAGGTAGTTTCAGGTGCATAAGTAGTAGAAATACCTTGGAAACCTTGTTGGGAACCTTGAATTTCTCTAAACTATCCTAATGCTGGAGACGAAAGCCCAGGAAACTCTTTTACAGAAACATATGTCACATGACTGAGTGTGAATAAATGCATCTATATATATGACCCTGATGCTGGCCATTACACTCAGGCTGAGTGTAGATTCTTATCTTTAGATGAAGAATCTGAGAATTTAGTTTGCAAGGAAGCAATGAAGAGGAAGCCTTCCCCTGTATCTCTAGTACATTTGTTTCTAGTATGTTTGTTTCTCATAGTTATAAAAACTGGATGGTATTTGGTATTTTAACATCAGTGTTGGGCAGAAGTTTGTAGAAGAGCAGCAAGCTGGATGTGGATGGCCTGGATTACAGCTCAGAGAGTGAGGAACAATGAGAAAACATGACAACAGAAGCTTGAGCAGACAGTAGGAGCTTGAGAGGATTGAACAAAAAGGTTTATAGAGGAGAAAGAAACACCTTTTTTGGATCTGTAGATATAGCATGTTATGAAATGCATTTCAAAGTATCAGTGAGGTAATGTGCAAAGTATTTCCTGGAGCATTTAATCACACGTAGATCAGATCATTACAACAGTACAAAGGTATTTCTTTTTGCCCTTAAACAAAACTTAGTATTATTCTTAGGTAATGAACTCAAGGAAGAAAAAAATATTTTGTGGAATACCTTTGTGAAAAGACATATCAGTATGAAGTATGTCAGTGATCACTTCAAAACTGCATTTATTTCACAGTGAACTTTGTGTGTGTCTGCAAGGGGTATAAAATGGAAAGGCAAGGAAAGCAATTTATTAAAGCCAAGCTGAAGCAAGCATAGATGCCTTGTCATCCATTCCAAAATGGGGATTGTTGCCCTTCCACTCATGCAAAATGTCAGGTAGGACCATTCCAGTTAATTACATTACTGTACTCACTCTGATCTTTCTAAAAATTTCTGAAACTTTGCTTCCTGTTCTCATTTCCTCTGCTAAAAAAAATACTTGCAGAAATGCACATGTAACTGCCAATTGGTCCTGCCTTTCCCACATCCCAATACTTCATCCATTTATCAATACAAATGTTATTGTGTGGGAACTGCAATTTTCTTAGACTTCTGGGGAACATCTGAAAAGTCAAGGCAATGGATTCTTAGGTATACTGGAGATGAGGCAGATCAGATGGGATCCTTCTCACTAACTTCAGATGATACAGTGCACAGATGTAGAACAAGAATGGTAGACTAGCTTAGGTTTAAATGCCTTGTGCTGAGAACACCTCCATACTGGCTTTGTGTCTGAAAATGAAGTAATGGATTACTGGTACTTATTACTGAGCTATTTTCTATGGGATGTACAGCTGAATGGACAAGATCTGAAGGAGGAAGAGAGCAATGACAAATACCTGACCATTTTTTCAGGAGTCAGGGAGAAGGAAGGCGAGGAGTTAATTGGATTCTTTGAGTTAGGAAATTAGGCAGAAGGCTGCAGCAAAGCTTCTGTCTACCTATCTTCACAGGATTGCCTGTGGGATCCCACATTGAGAATGATAGACCATCACTTGTGTGGAGTGGGGTCAGGGCTGTGTATGTATAAAAGCATCACTTGTTATGAAGTTGGAGCAGTGGAGCATGTGTGGCTACCTACGTGAACGTAAGATGTGCTGTGATGGCTGCCAGAATGGTGTGAGCAGGCAGGTTTCCATAAAGAAGCACTCCATCGTATTTCTTCCTGCCCTTCTCTGTACCTCTTTGCCATGATATAGCAGCTGTAAATAATTCCTTCTGTGGCTTTCAGTAACCTAAGGAGCTCTTCTCAGAGAGGCAGCCATTATCTAGACCCAAACAATCATGTGGCATTGTTAGCGATACTGCAAAGATATGAAGAGCAGTGGCCCAAGAATCCTTCATTTCAGTTCTTCAGGACAGCTGTGTTTTGTTGTGGTTTTTTTTTCCCCAGTTTTCTCTCACAAGGCTGTGCAGGTACAGAAACTGATATGTGTGGCTGTAATATTTCAGACTTAACATTTCCTATTTTCCACATATTTGTCTGAGTGGATGAACTGTTACACTACACTCTTCCTAGTTCTTATTTCATCTTTGGGTTATGTATTTGTACTTTTGTATACATATTTTTGAATATAAAAATCGTTGAAGCTCTTTACACTTTTGAAAAAATGTATCATATTCACAGATTATAATATTTTCTTATTAGGTCTTCTGTACAGGACAGTTTTATGTCAGCTTATACTTTATTTTCCTCCTGGTTCAATGGAGAAATTTTTAGAAACAGAGTAAGAAGAAAACATTCTTACCAAAACAATAACAGAGAACTTTCCTTGGTATTCTAAAAAAATATCCTTGAAATAATCACATCTTGCATAAGCTGGCCTTGAAATACGCATGAAAATTATACAAGGTACAAGAAAAAACATATTTCTAGCTATTGGTTTCTTTAATTTAACAGACTGGTCTTTATCTAGCAAGTAGAATAAGTATCTAACAAGAGCTAGACGTGTCCCTAGTAACTGTCATTTTGGAGAGGGTTGACTGCTTGTATCTTTGTAAACCTGACTGAACTCATGCCTTCCAGCCACCAGAGAGCTTTCTCATGCTTTCTCGGATGTTATGTAATATATAACAAGCACTTAAAATACCAGGTGGAGACATCGCTTAGCAAGCACTAACCTAGTTGTGAAAGAGCAGTGGCTTTACTTACTTCATCTGAGTATAATCCCTCATTTACTGTGGTGATGTTTAAACCATTCTGTTGAATATTCAGTTGCCTAATAAAAGTCACTGTCAGTCAGGGTAGTGTCTGACCTTCCCCCAGAATAATGAGGATAATATCCATATCTTAGTTGTGAACTCAAAACAAGATTTACAAAAAGATTACTCTGCATATTTAGGACAGGTTCTTCCCAGAAGAGCTGGAACATCAATAACGAGAGTACAGGACGTTTCTTACTCATTCAAAGTCATATAGCTGTATTAACCTCAAAATGCCATCCTTGTTGTTATTAACTGGTAGCTTATGAACGTAACAGGGACAGGCCATTGATAAAAATAAATATGTTTCTACTAAGGAGGTCTTCTCTAGGAATGAGTCTGCACCAAAAAACAGCTTTCCAAGTTACACCAGTACAAGAACCAGTATCAACAATTCTCTTCTTTCTGCAGCTGTTCTCCAAGATCAGACATTAGAAAGCATATTTCTTACCTTGTGGTTAGTTTGAAAAGGCCTACGTTAACAGGATATATGTGAATTCAGTCCTTTTTTGTTTAACTGGTCAGATTTTCTCACCTGTTTAGTACCACGAACAGGACTTATGCTGGTATTATAGATGTCTCACAATGATTTTTTCTCAGCTTCACCTGCTCTAGCTAGTGATTATTCCTTCTGTTTGGCCAAGTGTTGCTGATTAGGGTGGGTTAGCTAACCAACTACAGCTGTCCACCTGAGCTTTGGGAGAAGCTGTCCCTAGGAATCTTCCTCCAGTGATGTGTGCTTTGTGCCCTGGTGTGACTGCAAGTGGATCACTCACTGTTCTGTAATGAGACTTGACCGTGGCAGCCTGCCATTCTGTGGCTGGGTCAGGCCTTGGCAAAGGTAAAGTACCAAATATATCTCTGGTGCCCTTTTGTTGGTAACAAGTGTGGCATGCAGCATTGCTTCCATTTGGCTGGCTGGTCTCAGTAGGAGTATTGCTAATGTGTGGGGAGGAAGAGGTGGATCATGGGGTGGCAGAAGAATCAGGGGTACTGGTAAATATGTGCTTTGTTTGCTGCTGTTCCTATCAGTACTTAGCAGGTGAGTTTCTGTAATGTTTGTGGACCAGCAGGAGGACATGGAACATGGAGTATGGCTGTGGAACACTTAATATCAAGGAAATCCCCACAAATATGGAAGCAATTATTTTCACTGTAGTTGAGAGCTGAATGATTGTGTGGCCACTGCTGCAGCCTAGCATTAAATATGCAGTAATTGCTGAACTGCAACTTACTGTGAATGATATATCTCCCCATTACCTTTTTTGTGTAGACATAAAGGAAAGAAAAAAAAAGAGAAAAAAAGGAGGGAGGGGGGAAAAAAAACAAATGCTGAGCAGAGTATAAAGTCTGCTTGAGTGCTTTCAAAAGGGTGGACTTCAAAGATTTTTCAGTTTAAATGTTAGATTTTTTTCTCTTACACTTCAATCAAGAAAAATGACATTAGGTTGTGGCATATGTAGGCAATCTCACGTTTCTTTGTAGGTGTCTTGAGATAGGCTGTACAATGTGGTATGAAAGTTTACCATGATTAGTTGTAAGTTATGGTCCTCTGTGTGTAATTGTATTCCATCAGACAAGGAAAAGTGAATATTAAAAAATATGTCTTTTGTTTTTATTTAAATGATTTCTTTGTAGACAGAGTCATCTCTTAGATAATTAAAATGGCATTAATTTTAACTTACAGTCTGTTTATGGGAAATAAATATAATTTTTAAAGTTATGCACCATTATGCTACAGCTGTACATAGTGTTGTTTATTCTGAATGAGGAGATACAATTGTGGCAGAAGAGAAAAAAACAAAGAAGGGAGATTATATGAGTTTTCAGATAAATTTTCTGGTTTTGTTTCCTTTTTGTAGCAAGTTCAACATCATGATGGTCAGGTCATAAAAGGGCTGTTCAGGAAGGTGGTTGAGTAGCTGTTCTTGGGGGTGTTCAAGAAACATTGAAATGTGGTACTAAGGAACATGGTTTAGTGGGGAAATATTGGTGGTAGGTGGATGGTTGGACTGGATGATCTTGGAGGTCTTTTCTGACCTTGGTGATTCTACAATTATACCAGTATGTGATAAAACTCACTAAAATTCAGAAAGCTTAAGATTGTGTCACTGTTAAGGTTAGGCATCTTTCTGAAATGCTTCACTCTTGCTGAGTTTAAATTTCCCTTGCTAAAAATAACACTTAAAATTGAGAATGGGAGCAATTCTATATATTTTTTCTCATTGCAGCATTTTGTACATTGTCAATTCCAGTGATTTGCTTACTTATGTTTTCTTTGTTGTTTTTTTTGTTGTTGTTGTTGTTGTTTGTTTGGCTTTTTAAAATAACTACTGCTAGCATGCTTCTGGAATTAATAGAGAAAACATATACTGTCCCAACATCATTATTAATCTAAAAAACGCATAGAGGAACTCAAAAGCAAACATGACAATACATATATGTGGAATCAGTTTTGTTCTGCCTAATGGTTATCTGGTTCTCACACTGACATTTAAAGGAACGGCCTGACGGCAATGATACTGATACTCCACTTAGCCCATGTTACTCCACACAGACTCAGCCAGTGCCTTTCCCAAGCTGAGCTCCTTAGCTGAAGGCAAGGGCTGACAGGAATGGGCAGAGCAGTACTTGCAGTGATGGGACCTTGATGGGCAGGGGCTGTTTCAGAGGTGGGGTGGGGGCTGAAGGCTAACCATGCTCTTGCTGAGCTTGCCCCAGTCCTTGTTGCCTTAGCTGAGCCAAAGAACAGCTGAGGTGCTCCTCTTGCAAACTGAAGTGCAATCAGGTGATGACAGGTGCTCAGCTGAAGAACGTAACTGCTGGTTTTGTGATGCCCTTTCCATTGCGTGTCCTCAAAGCAAATGCAGACTGTGGTGCTGGCTGGGTGGCTGTTGGTATCGGTGAAAAGTGGAGCCTCTATGGCTTTTTGAGGGGGCTTTGGGGTGAGCAGAGCCTCTACTAATATTTAAGACACTGGTAAACAAAACAATCCTTTTATTTCTAAATCTTCTGGTTTGTGTGTGTAACATGCTGCCCATATGATGTGTAAACCAGTTTACTCAGTGTTTGGTAGTTTCTTGCTGTTGCTCCACAATTTCTGAGCTAGGACAAGTGCTGGCAACAGAATTTTG